AGCAATGCCCAGAGACTTCAGGGAGTGCCTTTCAGGTTCCAGCAACCTTAAAAGTGAACTTTGACCTTGCTGAGTTCTAGGAAATGGGATGCCTTAAAAGCAGGTTTAGAGGTGTGCAGATTCACGTTTTTGAACTCCTGGAATTCTTAGCTTTGGTCTCTGGGGAATTCTGGACATCATCGTCCAAAAACACGAATCCGGACACCTTCAGTTGAAAGCTAACCTTTTGCTCCTGGTTCCAAACATCGGCCAGCAAGACAGGCGGTTAGACTTTGACCTGTTTGTGACTGCATTATGCACGGCACAAATGTTTATTGACTCACTTTCAGGTCTATCCGCATATCATCTAACCTGGATTGTTTTGTCATTCCTGCAGAGTAGAAACGAAGGGGCTCCCTCCCATATCATCTAGCGTTCTCAAGATGCAAAGCAGCAGAGAAAAGATAGGTGTGGACAACATCTGGAGAACAAGCTCCCCCCCCCGCCCTATGCCCTTTGAGATATATATATATACCCTGCTGGGTTGCTTTTCATGAATCCATGATATGACAAGCAAGGTTAATTCCAGCCCTTTTATTATTGACTCTGCTTTGGAGCCTTTATTAGAACAGCAATATGATTCTCTGAGGGACGTGGTGGCGCTGCAGGCTAAACCACAGAAGCCTCTGGGCTGCAAGATCGGAAGACCAGCCGTCGTTAAGATCGAATCCACAGGACGGAGGGAGCTCCCGCCGTTTGTCCCAGCTCCTGCCAACCTAGCCGTTTGAAAGCATGTAAAGATGCGAGTCAATAAATAGGGACCACATTGGCAGGAAGGTCACGGCGTTCTGTGTCTAGTTGCGCTGGCCACATGACCACGGAAATGGTCTTCGGACAAATGCTGGCTCTACGGCTTGGAAACGGGGATGAGCACCGTGCCCGAGAGTGGGATATGACTGGACTAAATGTCAAAGGGAACCTTTACCTTTACCTATGATTCTCTGACATTCTAAATGGGAAGGGCTTTTAAGAAAAAAATATACTGCATATATCTATATATTATTTCATAAAATCATAGAATGATGGAGTTGGAAGGGGCCTCTAAGGCCATCAAGTCTAATTTCCTGCTCAAGGCAGGAATTCAAATTGAAGCAGATCTGATAGAAGGCCGTCTAGCTTTATCTTGAAGCACACCAGCGTTGGAGCGCTCACCACCTGCCAAGGTCATCAGTTCCATTGTTGTAATGCTCTAACAGTTAAGAAGTTTTTTTCCCCTGGTACTCAGCCTAAATCTTACTTCCTGTGGCTTGAACCCATTATGACGTACCCTGCACTTTGGGGTGATGGAGGACATATCCTGCTCCTCCTGTGTAGGACTGACCACCTTTCAAGTTTTTGAAAAGTGTTATCAGATCTCCCCTCTGGCTTCTTCTCTCAAAGCTAAACCTGCTCAGTTCATTCGAACATTCCTCACAGGGCTTGGTTTCCACTCCCTGATCATTCTTGTTTAAAACTTTTTTAAAAAAAAGATAGAAGCAAAAGCACGCGTGCTTTTCCCCATTCCATTTCCCCAGCATTTTTTTTTCTCCTCCCACCCGGCAGAGACCAATAGACTCCTTCCACACCATACGGATCCTTTGTGTTTAACCATCATACAAGGAGAGGACAAAACACCTAACAGTGACAAGGAAGGGAGCACGAAATACATGAGGTGGGGGACAGACACAGAATAATACATCAATCCAGCCGCTTTCACGATTTTTGAAAAATTCATCTTCGTGCCAGGGTGGAAAATAAACCCATCCTTCTGGTAAAAGTCCAGCTAAGGCCCTTTCAGAATAGGTTGCATTCCTTTAGCCAGACTTACGAGTTAGGAAGGAATTCGGAATGGGGGGGGGGAACTCTCAAACAGCAGTTTCAATGGCCCTAAAAAAGGCCAAAACAAGACATACCATCACCCTATAGTTTCTCTTCCCCCCCCTCCAGGCTGGAGGTGTGATATCACCTTTTTTTTTACTCCAGGAAGAACAGGTGAGCCAGCTTTTGAGCACCTGAGCAAGCAGCCAGCTGAGACTTGATTGCACAATAATACGTATGATATTTGAACTTTAACTTGAATATTTAAGTTAAGCCGCCAAACAGGTTTAAAGTCTGGCCACAGAGTAAGTGAAACCAGGCAGGCCCCTCCCAGAGATACTCCAGCCAGGTATGTCCAAGTTAACTTCAGTTTTGCTGCTTACAAATCACGTCCATTCACATATTTTCCCCCCCCATACACAACAACACCCTTCAAACCAAAAGGTCACCATATTCCCACCCTTTAGCCTACGGGAGCGTGATCCTTTATACTCAGACCCTTCCACTCTCAACCCCAAGAATCTCAACTGGAGATGGGTGCACGGACTGGAAAAGCGGTGGTACCCGATGGTTGGTTTGTGACCACAAACCTGCTTCTTTGCCACCATCGCCGGAGTCAATGGCCCGGCCTTACTTCCAGGAGCCCAGCCTGCTGGCTCTGTGCAAGCGCCCGCTACCCGGCTGATAGTTGGGCACATGCTCAGAGACAGTGAGTCCCGTTCGTGGAAGGGAAGCCAGCCCACTGTCTCCGATGAGCTGGCATCCGTTTTCGCCAAGGGGAAAAATGTTCGGCACTTTCTTTTCTTCGGCAAAGAAGGATCCCCAAAACTGGGTTGCAAACCGAACCAGCCCAGTTCGTTGGTTTCTCTGGTTCGTGGTTTGGTTCTTGACCCTCTCTTAATCCCAAGACCATACTGTCAACAGCAAATAGCTCAGGGAGAAGGTTTCCCAAGGTGGGATCTGCATCTGGGACCTTTAGCAAGTTAAGGATGTGATCTCTAAGGACAACCTGCCTCCGGAGATTCGCGCTGCACCCTCGCTGGGTACTGGGCCAATTAGCAGAGGAAGGGTCTGGCCACAGGAGCGAAACCTTCCATGCCAGATACCTCTATATACCAGAGATGAACAGCCCAGCTTCTGAGCTTCCCAGAGGCATCCATGAGAAACAGGAAGGATGTATTTTTCACCTGTGCTGCCATGACGTTGCCCCAGACCAAAGGTCAATCTCATCCGGCCCTGTTTCCCATGGAGCCCTTCAGTTGGCCATGGGATGCCCACAACGAAGACACGACCCTGGAATCATCCTACATCTTCTAGGCTTGAGCGGCTGGCACAGGGAGAGATGCCCCTTAAGGGATCTGCATCTGTTGAAAGCCTTCCACGGTTGGTTGGGGTTTTTTAAAGTTTTTTTAAAAAAATTCAAAATTGTTTTTCATCTTGGTTTTGATCTTGATATACACTTAATTGTGTTGTTTTTTTAATATGGTATTTTAGAACTGTCGGTGGTTGTATAGTTCTAGCCTTGTGAGGTGCCTTGAGTCCTTTCTGCGGGGAGAAAGGTGGCATCTAAATAAAATAAAATGAAATAAAGTATTCTCTAGGAGCTTGCCTTATCACCTGCTAAAGCTATCCATTCCAGCAGTCATGAATCCATCCTATGATTAAGAATTCCATAGTTTAATTCTGCATAAAATGGGAAGAAAACTTTTCTTTTTCATAGGATCATAGAACAGTGAAATTGGAAGGGGCCTATACGGTCATCATCATGTTGAATCCCCTGCTCCATTCTTTTTATCAGCCCTGACATTTCCACTATCCAGCTTCAGACGATGATGCTCTCTCGCTCTCTCTCTCTCTCTCTCTCTGTGTGTGTGTGTGTGTGTAACAATATCAAGGATGCTCTGTTCTTATGGCAATCAACCAGAAACAGACGGGTCTATGGAATTATGCTATGAAGAGTTCAATAAAACATATCAAACCACTGCCACAAACACAGAATTAGCAGCCTGTCCCAAAAGAACCCCCCTGGATTAGTTTGAATGTAATATCCCTCCTCCCAGCTACCCAGTCTTGGAGACTACAAAAGGTTTAGTCCAAAACACTTGGAACCATAGAATCACAGAAGAGTGAAGTTGCGGGGGCCAATAAGGCCATCTAGTCCAACCCCCTGCTCAGGGCAGGAATACAAACCAATATCTGCCAGGTGGTGGTCTAAGTTTCTCTTGAATGCTTCCAGTGTTGGAGCATTCTAGCAGCTAGGAGGTTTTTCCTTATATTCAGCTGAAATCTGGCTTCCTGAAAGTTGAGCCTATTGTTATGTGTCCTGCACTCTGGGTTGATCGAGAACTTATCTTGCCCCTCCTTTGTACAAATGACTACCTTTCAAGTATTTAAAAAGGATTATCATATCAACCCTCGGTCTTATTTTCTCAAGGCTAACCATGCCCAATTCTTTCGGTCTTTCCTCCTCAAAGGGCTTGGTTTCCAGCCCCCCTGATCATCCTTGTCGCCTGCCTCTGAACTTGTTCCAGTTGGTCAGCATCCTTCTTGAAGTGGGGTGTCCAGAATCAGACAAAACACTCAACCTGACACCTAATCGGTACTGAATATAGAGGAACTAGTACCTCTTGGGATTTGGAGGCTATACTTCAGTTAATGCAGCCTAAAATTGCATTGGCCTTTTTTGTAGCCACATCACACTGTTGGCTCATATTTAGCTTGTGATCTACGACAATTCCAAGATCCTTCTCGCTCGTAGTTTTGCTGAGTCAGGTATCCCCCATCTTGCAACTGTGCCTTTGGTTTCTTTTTCCAAGGTGCAGAACTTTGCACTCATCCTGTTTGAATTTCATCCTGTTGTTTTCAGCCCAGTGCTTCAGCCTATCCAGATCACACTGACTTTTCTTTCCGTCTTCCCGGGTATTAACTATTCCACCCAATTTTGTGTCATCTGCAACTCTGGCAAGCATCCCCTGCCCTCCCTCATCTAAGGCAGCAGGTTTGAGCAGCTGAGCCACAAGCAGACCTAATCTGACAGGACCGGCTCTTCCATTCATCTCCAACAAAACAGTTTTTCCCCATGCAGGTCATAAAGCAAAGAACGCCAGCAGACTGACGGGACTCACCAGCAGGAAGAAGGAGAGGAATGTCGCCGGCTTGCTTACCTGAGTGTCTCGTCTGCCGGGCAAGGCCAGGGGTCCCCCGCTGTGGAGGCCACAGTTTTTAGTGAGGAAGCTCCCCAGAACAGGCGTGGAGGCTGGAGAGGTGAAGCGTGGGCGGCTGACTGGCTGGCTGGCGGCTTGTTTGCTCTCTTGCCCAGGTGGGGCGGCAGGCACTTCCTGGTTGCATCTCCTCTCCGGCAGTTGCAAGGAGACTCACCTGGCTGTCTCCAGACAAGGTGGTGGAAAGAGGCACAGGGACTGAACTTCCCAGTGTGATGTCAAAAGCCGGCGTCTGCCACGAGGGATGACCCTCCACTTTCAGAGAAACCAGCGTTTGTCCTGGGGCTTCTCAAATGGGAAGGTGCTTTCTGAAACCTGTGCTTTTTTACCTCTGGCAGTGATCCTACTCGGGAGTAGTTATGATGATGGTTGGTGTGGGTTTTTCGGGCTCTTTGGCTGTGTTCTGAAGGTTGTTCTTCCTAACGTTTCGCCAGTCTCTGTGGCCAGCATCTTCAGAGGACAGATCTTTGCGAAGTCACCAGCGTCACAATTTTTGTGTTGCTTTTTTGCCCGCAGACTTTCCACCCCCCCTCTGGGAACTCCTTCCCGCCTTCTAAGGTTCTTTCTAGCCCATTTCATTGACCTTTAACAAGAGTGCAGGAACGTTTCCTTTTTTTCGAAACAACAAACCCCAGAATCCCCAAGCTGTAGCCCAAAAGAGTGTGACACTGCCATTTGGGGAGGGGGACGGAGGCAGAAGGAGCTGAACGAATTTTGGAAGTGAGATACTTTTAGTCCTCTGATTTCTAAATGAAAATCCTGGGACACTTTAAAAAATATGTATATATGAGTTATTGCTTTGTTGCTTTTCGTTTCCTTCTTGTTTCCAAGGACCTCCAGGCACTGTGGTTTAATTGACTGGGTGATTCATTCAATGTATTTATCCATCTGTTTATTTATTTTCTGTCCAACAAGTTTCTCAAAGCACTTTATAAAACTGCTGGATAGTTCAGTGGTTTGGGGAGTTCGATTCCAGGGGATTAAAATGTTGATTAAGACAGCTCTGGAATGGGTCATTTATTGTATAAAAGGGATTCAGAAAACCAATTATTTATTATTCATTGATTACTTTAATTTATATACCACTCCCATTAGTGCCGCAGCGCTATTCTGGATGGTTTACAATAAAATACATAATAAAAAATTGAATAACATTAAAAGCCATGTAAAATCTAATCTCATAAAGACAGAAAAGGTGGCTGAGCAATGATGAAACTAAATGTAGGATAAAATGAAAACAACAACAAACAGTAACTGGACAGAGATGTACAGGATCAGCTAGGATCGGAGTAGAAAGCCTCTCAGAAGAGTCAGATCTTCAATGGCCTCTTAAATGTCCACAGGATTGGGGGCCACTGCAAAGAAGGCCCTACCTCTTGTATAAGATTTCTGGTGGCTACCTGGAGGATCCTGACTGAGATGATCAGGGGAGGTGGGCCGGTGACATTGGGGGAAGAGGTTCCAATAAGTCATGTCTGTCCAAACCGTGAAGCGTACCTTGTTGTGATTGTTGTTGCTGTTCTTAAAATGACAAAAAAATATGGTCTTCCACCTCCATTCCTATCTGCGAGGTGGGTTGACTGAAAGCTAGTGACTGCCCAAAAGGTTCAGAGCTAAAATTTGAACCTCAATCTGAACAGTTTCAGGTGAGATACCAAGGTGATTCAGAGTGTCATCTTACTCTGCTTCTGGTGAAGCAGGTCCTGTCAGTTTTGCTGGAGTGAACTTTCAAACATGCTGGACGGAAGCTTCAAGCATGTGTGGTATTTCTCTGTAGCCTTATGTTTCATTTCCAGATGATGAACTTTGTCCCTGTGCTACAATACAACAGAAGATGCTAGTGCCACATGGTGCAAATAAGCACATGCCCAAAAAAGTGAACTTAGCTCTTAATGAACCATGCAGGATTATGACTGGCTGCCTGAAACCTACCCCATTTAAAAAGTCTATTATTTGGCTGGCATCATCCCTACAGAAGTATGTCAAGGGGTATTAGCAAATAATGAATGAAAGCAGCACCAAACCCATCGACTCCATGGACATCAACCCCCTAGATGATGGCTAAAATCAAGGAAACGTTTTCTGCACATCTCTCAAACTCTTGACTAGTAAACCAGAAAGAGGCAAGGCTGAACCCACAGAGAACCAAAACAAATACACCTTGCCAAATAGATGAATGCTAAAGGTTGTTTCCCATTGGGACAAGACTCTCGCTGGAACGTGTGGAAGTCACTTAATGGATGTGTGGGAAGATCAAAGAATAATCAAGTAAAATTGGGGCAACTTGGATACAGGACAAGTTTTCTGTGACTGTGGAGAAATTCAATCCATGCAGCACTTAACGTGCAGACAGTTTATGCCCCACTTAATGTACAAAAGAACATCTAACCAATGGCCAAGATAATGCTATTGAAGCAGTCCTCTGCTGGTAAAAAAAATTAGTCAACTTCTCTTAACATTTTAATTTGTTTTTGATTTCACTTATACTTCATACGCATTCCTGCCTTACGAATAAAGAAAGAAGTAGATAGAAGCTTTAGGGGAAGAATACCTTTCCCTCAACTAACTGCAGTGGTCCAGCAATGGCCGGGCTTGGTGGGGACAGAGAGAGCCCTGTTCCCTGACCATCTGGTATATACCTATATTCTCACTATCCGGGCACCAGAGATGTAAAAAAAAGTTAATTTTAATTGGACAATTCCTTACAAGTTTTTAAGTGGCGACTGGAGGGCCCTCTGTCTGGATGCGTTAGCTGTAGGTTCTTTTATTGTCAAGGGCTGGACTAGATGATCTTTGGAGCCCCTTCCCACTTGACTGTACCACGACTCTATGATGGTTAAAAAAATTTTCCAAATTACACATACACCCCAAACATTTCCTGGCATAAACAAACCTTCCAGTTACTCAGTTTTTATACAGCCCTGGAAAGCTTACTGCCTGTTTTCCTCCCCGTCTTGGATTCTATTTTATATTACTTTCAGTAACCTTAAAAAATAAAACCCTTTTCTATTCTATTCATTTTTCTCTCTGAGGGAAAAGGCTGCTCTACGGATAGCCCCTGTTTCACATGTCGCTGCTGAGCTGAGAGAAGGTCCTCATTCCACCAGAAAAAGCTTCATGTCAGGATTCCTGATTGCCAGGTAGTGGTTAAAACAGGGGGGAAAGGGATAAATGTCTTTCTCGTTCACTCACACGCACCATAGTTTTGCTTGTGTTTGGTTGTGAAGAGGGAAACAGGAGAAAGTAGTTCTTCTGATTTTAAAAGATACGCAAAAAGGAGAAGAGCCAACCCAGAAACCCAGTCAACTGCTTTCAATATATATCTGTAAGCCACAATATTTTTCATTGTTAACAAATGCAACTGGACACCATCCTGACAAAGGTAAGCATCTGGAGGTCTTACTGATTTCAGTGGAAGGCGCCATGGAAGGTGGTCCAAAAGGGGCACCACCCCACCCTAAGACGACCCCCAAATGTTGCTGGAAAAGATCATGTTGCTGGGAAAAGCTGAAGACAGCAGGAGAAGAGGAGGACCCAAGGTGAGATAGATTGACTCCCTAAATGAAGCCACCACCTTGAGTCTGCAGGACCTGAGCAGAGGCGTTGAGGACAGGACATTTTGGAGATGCTCATTCATAGGTGACTTGACAGCACATAAACCCCAGCCAGCTCAATCCTGCTTGCCTGCCTTTTTTTCCTTCTAAGATACCTATGAGTACCTGCCTGCCTGCGCATGTCTATGCCTTTGTGCGTAGCTGTGCGAATACCCACTTTTGCCCCCAGCTCTGTACTTCATGAGCCACAAAGAGCTGCTGCGCCTTCCGCCCCATAGATCACAATAGCCACAAGCCACCACATATGGTACAGCCGTGGACCAGCCCTGTTGCACTGGGAATGCTTGTGCACGTGAGGCAGTGTGCATGGTTACAGCCTAGTAAACAGTAAGCACTAGTAAACAGTAAGTCATGCACTTTGGAAACAGTGCAAGTGGAGAGAACCGTCGTATTTGTAACTTTCATTTCTTAGATTAATAGGCAGCTGCCGCGCCCACGAAACGGTGGGACCAAGCCAAGCCAGAATGAGGAAGTCCCAGGCAGATGGTGGGGCAAAGATTCTTAGGAAGGCAAAGGGCAGGGGGGGGGCTCCTGGGGCCTTTAAAAGGGGAACAGAGGGGACCGGCGGACGCAGCTTGTCTTGCAGAATTATCCCTGCTGCTGTGTTGCAGAGTTTCGTGCAGTATTTCTTCCAGAATATATTTTGTGTTTCTGGTTACAGACCTCTAGCTCAAATACAGGGGACCCTCGACCTGTGGAATTAATCCATATTGGAAGGGTGGCCGCAGGTCGAAAAGTCCGTAGGTCGAATACGCATTTCCCATAGGAATGCATTGAAAACCATTTAATCCGTAACCGGCCCAAGAAACACCCCCCACACACACACACACGCAAAAATGAAAATAAATAGACCTTACCTTTCTGAAGCCTTCCAGGGGTCCCCCACCGCCACTGCCCGAGGACTCTTGGAGGTCCCCCCCGCCGGCGCAGGCTTTCCCAGGGTGGACCATGCCTACCAGGGTAGGGCTTCCCCCAGTAGGCCTGGTCTACTCCCCAGGCTTTCCCAAGTGCTTTCCCCGCCTCCCCCTTCTGGTCCGTAGGTTAATTCTCCGGCTGCAAGTCGACTGGAAATCTTGCGGCCGGAGAGGTCCGTACCTCGAAAAGTATGCACGTCGAGCCGTGCGTACGTCAAGGGTCCGCTGTAACTGAGTCTGATACATTGGTAAGAGAAAGCATAAAACAGTTTCATTTACTCACAGTTGAACAGAACAAAAACAGCACACAGCACAAACAACTGCTTACAACAACAGATCTCCACAGATTTTCGCAGCCTGCTTTTAGCAAACTTCTGCAGACGACGTTCACATAACTGCACCCTAACTGTCAGTAAACTAAAAAAGGGGGAAATAACTTTAAGCAGCCTTTTTCGCTGGCACTTCCCTGCCCGCATCCTCCTGACTGTCCCCATCAAGCCATGACTTTGGAATCTAGGTCTGCAGAGCCATTCTGCTGCCCCAAATACTATAGCAGGGGAGAAGGAGGTGGTCGGGCTTCCAGAG